TTTGCAAACATGATTGTCAGTCCTCATATGACTTTTATAGCAACTGAAAGCAAGCCTAATATTTGTCTAAGGGGAGACATTACCTCATCCCTTAAGGTTGTTTGCTGCAAATACAACTCTGAGAGCTGGCTCAGGTAAAGAATATCAGAGCCTTACATTTTTGGCATAGTTATCCAGACTGTGCAGGGGTGCTCAGGGCCCACGGAGGGCTACCTCTCCCAACATGGGATATTTTCCTAATCAATTTATAACAACGAAAATGGTGAAAGCAAACATTTATTGAGCGCTTCCTATGAGATAGAAATAATGTGCAAACTCTATGACATATGTTGTCTAATTTTCATAACTGTATTAGGTAGAGATTATTTTTCCCGATTCTATATGATGAAATGAGCCTTGTAGACTTTAGAAGGCTTGGCCATGTTCACACAGCTAGCAAATGAGCTAATAAATGGATCTGGGATTCTGATCTTGTTTGTCTGACACCAAAGCAGGGTATGTTCACTGTTACTGAAGATTTGACAGGTGGAGCCCAGAGGAGGGCAATGAGTGGACCAAGGTCATAAGAGACAGAGCTGGACCTTGAACCCATGTCTCCTTACTCCCAGTCATGGGGTCTTCCTATCCTAAGAGTAACAGCTTACACTGCCACTTAAACCTGGGCCTCCTTGGGGATAGGTGCCTGGGGCAGGAGACCAAGAGACTGGGTCTGAGGGAGTCTGTTCAGTTGGGGTTGGGGAAAACTCAGGGAAACCCAAGCTTTGTCCCGTTTTCTGTTCAGGCCAAGTGGCAACGCCGGGCCTCAGATGGCAGCGCATGTCTCGACATGTATGAACACATCAGTCTCATGGCTCTGGATAGTCTGCAGAAATGCATCTTCAGTTTTGACAGCAATTGCCAGGAGTGAGTCTCTTCCCAGAGCCTGTGAACATGACCCATAGGCCCAAGGGAGAAGATGGAGGGAGGACTGACCAGGGCAATGAGAAGTGCCTTCCTGAAGGAGGTAGGGCAGAGATGGACATTGAAGGACAAGGAAGGAGAAAGAGAAAGAGTAATGTTTTCAGGTGGGTAGAAAAGTTTGACAAATGCCAGGAAGCTAGGATGAGCAGAGTGTGCAACAGTGAGGAGACATCTTGGAAAGGAGGTTGAAGGGCTTAGCAGGGGTTAGATCTTGAGGCCGTAAAAAGCCAGGAAAATGGGTGTGAACTATCCTGAGATTGATGGAGTCATGGAAGGTGTTTCAGCAAATGAGGGTCATGGCCAAAGCTGAGCTTGGCCAAATGACTCTAAAGAAGACCAACTAGTGTGTAGAAAATGGGTCGTGTTGTCATTGGATGCAAGGAGCCTAGGGAGGGGGCTGGGCCCACTCACCAGTCAGGAGAGGATGAAGTCTGAGCTGTGAGGACAGTTTTGGAAAGAAGGGGCAGACACTGGGCTGGAGAGAGAGATGAGAAGCATGATGTTTCAGCTGTGCTCTGGGAGCCTGGGGCATGGAGGCAACTCACAGAGACAGGAGGCAGGGAGAGAAGAAAGTCTGGAGAGGTGTGTCTCCTAGTGAAACCCACCATGTAGCTGTGGGGTCATCTGTTCTTGGAACTCAGTATCTTAATGGGAGGTAGCTCCTGGCTGGGGGAAGGCGCTCCTTGGTCTTCAGGTGAGCTAAGTTGTTGCCTTCCTTTCTGCCCTCATCCTTCAGAAAGCCCAGTGAATATATTGCCTCCATCTTGGAGCTTAGTAGCCTTGTGGCAAAATGGGTCAGTCAGGTATTCCTGCCTGTGAACTTCCTGTACCACCTAACCCCTGATGGCCATCGCTTCCGCCGGGCCTGCCGCCTGGTGCATGACTTCACAGATGCCGTCATCCAGGAGCGGCGCCGCACCCTGTCTGATCAGGGTGTTGATGACTTTCTCAAGGCCAAGGCTAAGACCAAGATGTTGGACTTCATTGATGTGCTCCTGATGAGCAAGGTGGGCTTCT